ATTCCGTCAGCTTCCTAGCCTCCTTTCACCCAAGATCTGAGGCGCTTTACGGCCTGGACGTGCACATCACCAGGCCAACCTTGACACTTCCTTTGATGGGGGAAGCTGAGGCCCAGGACAGGGTGAGGCTCCCAGTACCTGGCCGGGCCCAGGGGCCCAGTGGCTCCCTCTAGACTTCACACCCTGCCCCCATGGGTGCCAGAAGGGCCCTGTGGCTAACGCTGACCCCCGCCCTTCACGGCCCCGCCCGGGGTCCCTGCCCCAGCAGGGAGGCTGAGAAGACGGCTCCAGGCCCTGGTGTCCATGGCAAGGGCCAGCGCCCTGCTCCCCTCGGCCAGGCAGCCCTGTCACCTCCACCCGGCACAGCCTGGGGCAGGAGCCCGGTGCAGCTGGGAATGCCACCTCCTAGCCGTCCTCCTCTTCCTTATGGAAACTGAGGCTGCCACCTCCCTGCCCACCCCCCCCATGTTCTGTGCCTCTGACAGGCCCGAGTTGTGCCCCACCCCCATCCCCCAAGCAGCAGGAGGAAGTGGACTTGGCACCTGGGCAGCGGGGGCGGGCACTGGAATGACTGGTTTGGGCTCTCAGCCTCCGGGGCCCAGGGCTGGAGGCTGGGCTGCCCATGGAGAGACCCAGGCCCTGAGCCCAGTGAGAGGCTCACGGTCTGAGCCCAGCCCCCCAGGGCCGGGGAGGGCGGAAGTGAGCCACGGCTGTCCAGGGCCCTGGCACCCAAAATGCATCCTAATGTGAACAGGACGCCCCTCTGGACACATCGTGGAGCACCGCTCGGGTCCTCCCGACGCAGCCCCACGGCCATGCCTGTGCCATGGAGACAGGACGCCCCAACTTTTTGGAGGAAATGGGGGGCGGGAGCCCAGTGAGGCAGGGCAGGGATGGAGGGGAGATGGGAACAGAAGGACTCGCCCGGCCCCACATGTCCCAGGGCCACCCCCAGTCCTGAGCAAGGGGCCGACGGGTACGGGATCACTTGAAGCGAGGTGCCTGCTTGTGGGGACCAGGCTCTGGGGGCAGGTGCTGCCCGGGGCAGGGGCTGCTGGGCGCCAGAGGAGGCAGCCGGGCATAGGGGGACAGGCCTGGGAAGGGCCAGTGTGGCACTGAGGGGGTCAGGCCCCAGACCCACCGAGGGATTCAGCCGACGGGGGAGCTGAGGACAGAGAGAAGAGGACAGACGGGCGGACCCCAGGTTCTTGGCCGGGGCAGCCGAGGGGCCGTGCAGCCACTGGGGTAAGGCCCGCGGGCAGATGGTCAGCAGGGAGCGTGGAGTCCAGAACTGGGAGTGCGAGTTTGAGATGCCGTTTGACATCCATGGTCAGTGTCAAGGGGTCTGCAGGCAGGAACCAGCCCAGGCTGTGTGTCACTGAATCCCAGTCACCGGCCTGGGAGGTGGCCGCAGGGAACAGAGGGTGACCCCCGAGAAGCCCAGGCCACATCCAGCTGCCCCGTCTCTGCCGAGGTTCTATGGGTGCCAGTCACACCTGTCTGTTTCCACGTGGTCTGTGGCAGACTCTGTGCTGTGGCAGCAAATCGCTGGGTTCAAGCCACTTAGGCCCAGCGAGGGCCATGCTGAAGAGAGGCAGGTGACCACAGGGGAACCTCCCCTGGCCCCCACATTCGGCGCTGCAGGAAGTCCGCCCTCACCTCCAGTGGCCCAGAGCACGTCACGGGCGCCACTGGGTTGGCAGCTCGGAACTCCAGTCTCGGGAAGTCCTGGAGGGCTCCATCTCTTCCGCAAGGCCTGGTGGGATTCGAGGGCTGGGCTGGGGAGCATCCAGCCATGGTGCCTGGAGGTCAGGGTGTCTCCCGAGGGGACAGAGGCCACCTGCCGGCCCCTAGGCACTAGCTGGCTACTGAGTGGGCTGGGCTCTGTCCCCCCAGCCCCAGCCATGCCCGGTGGGCCCTCGGGTACTCAGCACACGGGGGCTGAACCCTCCCTGGCTGCATCCCACTCCGAGACCACCCACATTGTCTCGGCCCAGCCTGGAAGGGGGTCCAGGAAGCCGGTGCCCTGCTGTGGGTGTCCCCTAACTGTGGCACAACAGCTCCCAGAAGTGACTGAGCAGACTTGTGGAGTGCCCTGGACAGGCTCTGGGACTGGGTGACTCGCAGGGTCAGAGGTGGCCTGTCCAGCCCACAGCTTGTGGTGAGGTTAGAGGCCTGTGTGGTGGGGTGTAGGGGACACAGAGGACTGGAGATTCAGGCTGGAGAGGGCTTGGGTGGCTTCTTGGGGGCCCCAGATGCCAGGAGGAAGCTGGGTCAGGAGCAGCCCTGCCGGATTTTCATTTTCAGACGTGGCTCCAGCCAGCATTGCGGGGTGTGGATCGACTGGGGCAGGGTGACGCTTCCTCCCCAGTTCCAGCCTGGCCGTCCACGGACTCCCTGGAGCCCCCTGCCCCCACCGTCTCATGAGCCCTGTGTCCCTGCCTCATCCCACCAGGCCACAGGATGACCTTGGCACATGCGGTCACCCTCAGAGCCTCAGAGCAGGGAGAGGGTGGCGGCCTGGTGAGGAATCACCACTTCTGAGTTGGGCAGAAGCCCAGATGGACCAGGCAAAAGGGACAGAGCTCCAGGCATGAGTTGGGGGAGACAGTGGCCGCCCACCTCCGTCCTGCCCACATTGTGGTCCCCACCTTAGAGACAGCCTGAGGTGTGGGCGCCAGAGGCCGCCCTGGGCGGTTGACCTACCAAATGTGGGGAGCTAGGCTCCCAAGTCCGGAGGGTGCCTGGTCAGGCAGAGGGTGGTTGTGAGCCTGGCCCTCATTTGCACATAAGGACACACGGTCACCCAGCCCAGGGCCAGGTCCCTAGTCCTCCTCAGTGTCATTTCAGCATCGTCTGTGTCCCCCCATCTGTCCGGTCAAAAGAAGGGGGAAGGGAACACAGCCCCACAAAACCGTACCGCCTTTCTATCGGGGTTCCATTGATCAACAGCATCGTCTGCGCCCACGGGTCTGGGGGACCCTGTATCCGGGCGGGAGTGGGCAGCTCCCCTGCAGGAAGGGTCCACTGTGCATGCTGTGGGCACCCAGGCAGGCGGGGGCCGTGCAACAGACTGCGCTGTTTTCTCTTTATACCAACTTCCTTTCTGGCCTTTTGTTTGGGGGTGCAGATAGAGCCCTGCATCGGGGAGGAGGAGGCAGCCCAGGCCTCTCCAGGGAGCCATGGACCCTGACTCCTTCCTGGGACCTCCAGAGCCCCCCAGGGCTGCACCGGCACTTGGTGGGCCGGCCACCACTCCAGGGACTCCAGGGACAAACTGGATCCGAGGAGGGGCCGGCTCCCTGCCACCCACGCCTGGCTTGTCCCTGGCCTCCCAAAATAGCCGTCCAAGTGGTCTCCTCTGTGCCTGTGCATTCCCAGGGCATCCGCCAGAGAAAGCGGGCTTTGTCCCTGCCCGGCCAGGCCCTGAGCAGTGACGTGCGGGCCTCTGCGGCCAGAGTCCAGAAGAATGGGCCCTTCTTTTGGGGCTGGCCCGGGGGGCCAGGTGTCCCCTCCATGTCTCACGTCAGCTCCTGCCGGAGGGGGGAGGGGCTGCCCTGATACCCGGTATCTTGGGTGGGAGGTGGGAACGCCAGCCCCGCCCATGACCCATGTAGGCCCCGGAGGTCCCAGCCCAAGAAAAGAGGGTGACCACGGCTGGTTCTCCGCGCCAAGAGGTGGCCCCGCTGGCTGCGCTGAGTCTGCATGGCCATGAGTCCCTTCCTGCCTGCGAACTCCTGCCAGGGCTGGCAAGGGTGTGCATTTGTGTGTGTGCATGCGTGGGACTGTACATACACACGCAGAGGACAGTCCTTTCTCTGAACTCCTGGGAAAGGCGTGGTGACGTGAGGCTGGCCTCCGCCCCTACTTGGGTCCTGAGGCCCTGACCAGGGCAGATGTGGGGCTCTGGTGAGGTCCGGAGCAGGACTTGGGCTGTCCACACGAACAACTCACACGCTTATCACTTCACGGTCACTGGGGTCTCGGTGCAGGGCTAACCCAGGCCCACCTGTCCTGGGGGCCAGCTCCTGGCCATCTGGTAAAGCGAGTCCTTCTTAGACCAGGGGCCCAGAGGATGGCATGCCATCTGGGAAGGAAGGTGGGGTCCCTCCAAGAAGGGTCCTTGTAAAATGCATAGGAGTTTGCTTGGCTGCTGAGAGGAAGGCTGTCTCAGCTGTGCACAGGACTGGAGGCCTTACAGCCCAACTCAGTAGGATGTTCTCAATTTCCTCCAGTCTGTCTCAGGGAGGGTCTGCGCCGGCCGTCGGGAGGAAGTGGTGGTGGGTCAGGACAGCCAGTCCCCAGTCGCCGTGACCTTCCAAGCGTCACGGGCCTCTTTCCATGTGGTGACTTACTCAGAAGTGAGTACTGAGGGGACAGCCAGAGTCACAGGCCTTGTTGGTGGCCCTGGGAAGGCAGCCTGGGGGACACACCTGGGCTTTGCGGGGCTCTGGGACCCCGAGAGCCAAAGCCCCCCGGATCCAGCATGCCCAGCCCTGCTAGAAGGCAGGGGGGGCTCCTGATGGGGGGTAGCGCTAAGGGCCAGGCTTGTCTTTGCCTGTGATGGGGAGCTGGCGTGGCTGTCTTCCCCGTGACACAGGGCGGTCCCAGGTCTCTGAAGTCCTCACAGGGACACACACACCAGCCTTGTGCCCTGGGGCCCGGGAGCCACCCGTCCCCAGGGAATCCACTGCCCATCGCAGGCTCTGCCCAGCCCTTCCATCCCCAACCTGCTCCCCCTGCACCTCCTCGGAGGCTGCCAGGGTGGACATCAGGGACGGCGAGAGCACCAGCCCTTCCTCCTCCACCACCAGATAAACACACCCCAAGGGTCCCCGTCCCCACTCTTTGGGTCTTGGGTTGTGGGGACCCGGGTGGTCGGGTCTGGGCTGTTTTCAGTCTTCGAGGTTCTAGTGTGACTGAAGGGACAGGTTGGGGGAGGCAGCAGGGACACCTGTGCCCTGGGCCCCACACCCTGGTGACCAAGGCTGTTTCCCCAGGATTCAGTGCCCAGCCACTCTGGCTGTCGTGGCCAACATCCTGGGAGCGGTCCTCAGCGCCACCTGCATTCCAGCCAGCACCAAAGGGGCCAGTGCCAATGCCCAGGCTCCACTGCCAGGTAAGCCCCACCAGGTAAGCCTTCCCAGGTACACCCCGCCAAGTACGCCCCGCCAGGTACACCCCGCCAGGTACGGCCCGCCAGGTATGCCCCACCAGGTACACCTGGCCAGGTGCTCCACACCAGCTCCTTTCAGTCCCTGGCAGACCTGGCCCTTACCCCACCCTCCCCTGAGTCGTTCCATCCCAGCCTCCGGTCCCAGGTAGAGTTTACCCGCCAAGTAAACTCCCCAGGTGCACCCCAAATACTTGGCGACCAAGAGGCACGAGCGTCTCCCTCTAGCAGCCACATCCAGGGCCTTGAGTTCCCCTTCCTGCTCTCTGTGCCTGCTGCCCCGAGCTCTGAGGCAGCGAGGGCTCTGGGCAGCAGGCACAGAGAGCAGGAAGGGGAACCTGGGGACACTCACACCCTCCCGCCTTCCATGAGTCCCTCCCGGCTGCTGACACCACAGGAGAGACCGTGGGGGCCAGAGGGCTGAGGCCCGAGGCGGGAGAGGCCCGGGAGGCCTGGGGAGGACAGCAAGGTCGTGGGTGCCAGGCTCTTGTGGCTCAGAGCACCCGGCGGTGTGAGGGCACTGTCCGAGGGACCACCGAGGGATGAGGCGACCAGGCTGGCCCAGAGGGTGGGTCCGCTCCAGGGTGCCTGGTATGTGGCAGGGTCTGTCCTGGGTGTCCAGGGACTGGAGGCCAGTCGGGGATGGGGAGACCTGTCTGGACAGTCCTGGGACAGGAGTCTGGGGTGGGATGACCCAGAGAGGGGGGCGTGTGGAGGCCGGGCCTGCCAAGGGACAGGCAGGAAGCCAGCAGGGGAGAAAGGTGGGGAGAATGTAGCCCGGCCCCGTCTCCCCCACCCGCCCTGCCCAAGCCTCAGCTTTCTCTGCCCCAGGGAACTCCATTCCAGAGAGAGACCTGCCATGACAGTCACAGCGAGGGCACGCGTGGGGCCTCTAGGGAGCGACAGGCCTGCAGCCGGGCGGGCTGGTGGGCGTGGGGACCAGGCCACCTCGGGGTGTGACCGGCCTCTTCCGTGCCAGGCAGCCCCCAGGCCCGCGTGTTTGACCTGAAGGCCATCACCCGCCTGCTGCTGCTGCCGGACGTCCTGGGCGTGTTCCTCGTCAAGGTGGTCTCTGGCTTCCCCTCGGGTGAGTCTCCACTGCTGGGGTATTTCGGGCCATGCAGACGTGGTGACTCAGGCATGGGGAAGAGAGGCAAAGGGTGGGGCTCGGCGGCTCAGCCTGTCATCCTAGCACTTTGGGAGGTCGAGGCGAGTGGATGGCCTGAGCCCAACCAGTTCAAGACCCACCCAGGCAACTTGGCAAGACCTCATCTCTACAATAAATCAAAAACTCCAGGCGTGGTAGCGCGCGCCTGTAGTTCTGGCTACTTGGAGGGCTGAGGCGGAAGGATCGCCGGAGCCCAGCAGGTCGAGGCTGCGGTGGCCGGGAGTGTGCCACTGTGCTCCCGTCTAGTGACAGAGTGAGACTCCAACTCAAAAACAAAAGGCAAAGGGACGGTCCTCCCTCGTCCCCCAGCCCCTCCACGTCACAGTCGCCACAAAGCCAGCAGAGGGGTCACTCAAGGAAGAGGGCCTGGGTCAAGTCCTCTGAGGACAGCCTGAGGGACAGAGATGGAAAGTCCAAAAGTAAACACATGAGGCTGGGTGCGGTGGCTGACACCTGTAACCCCCACACTTAGGAGGCCGAGGTGGGAGGATCGCTTGAGCCCAGGAGCTCGAGACCAGCCTGGACAACACAGCAAGACCCCATCTCTATAAAAAACAAAACAAAACAAAAACCATACACATGAACACACGCCTCTGAAGACGCACTTGTCCCAGTCATCTGGCAAGGGACACACAGCCTGTGTCCTGCTCAGTGGACCCTAGGGCATCAGTGGCCCCAGATAGCACAGCCTACCAGTAACCCTGTCCCTCAGACACCCTGTCTGGTGTCATCTAACTGAGATGCCAGGAAGCAGGACAGAGGACAGGCCCTGTCCTTCTATGGGCCCCACCCTCTGTCCTACCCAGCCCACCTAGGCGGGCTTTTGGGTGTCACAGCTAGAAGCCAATCCCCGATTCCAGTCACAGGGACCAGGGGGGCTCTTATAAAACTGAGGGCCACGGGGTGTCTTGGGGCCAGATCCTGCCGTGTGGTCACCCCGGGTCCCCCCTTCCAGCACCTTCCTGCTCACAGCCCACAGCTTAGCAACCCAGGAAGACCCTCGCTGGTCCACCTGGTATCAACACGTGACCTCCCTGACCTGTGATCAAACGCCACCTGGACCTGCTGAGACGGGAGGGGGCTGAGCCCTGCGGCCGGCAGTGAGGGGCCGCCTCTCACCTCCCCCCTTCCCCCCCAGGACTTTTCATGGTCATGTTCTCTGTCATCTGCATGGACTTCTTCCAGCTGGAGGCCGCCCAGGCCGGCTACCTCATGTCCTTCTTTGGGGTCCTGCAGATGGTGAGGAGGAGCACAGGGCCCACTGGGGGGGCAGGGGTCTTTGGCAGGGTGGGCCTCCCCTCTCAGCCCGGTGGACTCAGTTTCCCAAGAGCCCTCATGCCGTCCGCCCCTCCACACCCCTCCCGCCTCTCAGAGCAGCCTCTCTGCCCTCCTTCAAAGCCTCAGCCTCCTCACCCACCCTGAAGCCCGAAGCCTTGTCGCCCCTCACTCCGGCTCACCCTGCCCATGGCCTTGACTCCCATACCTGGGTCTGCACCCGGGCCTCAAGCCCCTGCACCCCCAGCCCATCCGCCCAACCATCTGCCGGGGGGTTCTGTCTGAGAGGGGAGGCTCACCCCGGGTGGAGGCTGGTGGTGAGCCCTTGGCCGCCCGTCCGGCAGCCTGTCAGGGGCCCATGGTCAACAAGTGTACACGCGGGTGCCCGGCAGCGGACGGGCCAGGAAGGGAGAGCCGGCCCCGGGGTGGGCGTGCCGTGGGGACGGGGACCCTGGTTTCTGATGGGCAGCAGGCCGGGGCCCTCAGGAAGCCGTGACCTCACGTGTCAGGGTGCTTAGACGGTGCCGGGCACCTCTGAAGGCCCTGCAGGAGCGGGGCCTGGCATGCAGAGGCCATGTCCTTGTAATACCCCGAGATTGCGACAAGTGTCCTGTCTGCCAGGCCCCAGAGACACCAGCTCCCGGGATGCGCCCACCCCAGCTCCTGAGGGCATCCAGACCAGACCCCACTGGGGACAGGTGGCGACACACGGCCACCCAGGACACAGCCCGACAGCTGCAGCGTGGGAGGGGCTATTCTTGGACCCCCGGGTGGGGGGCGGGAGGTGGGGCTCACCACTCCGGAAGCCTGTGGCATTCCTGGTACCTCCGGGCTAGACTAGACCCTGCAGCCGAAACAGCCCTCCTGGGAAGGACCCCTGCCCACTGTGGTCCGGGAGGGCTCTGCTTGTGGGCCAGAGGAGCCCAAGAAATCAACAGAAAAACAGCCACAGTAGGCTGCTGCGTGGCCCTACTCTGAGCGCGGTGCTGCCGCCCGCCCAGCCTGACCCATCCGAGGCCTGCAGCTCCCTGAAGACCCTCAGGGCGGACACTGGTGGCCCCTGGCCTGCGTTGAGGGAGGGGACGGGGCTGCTGTGGCTGCAGGGGGACCCCCGCCTGAGTCAGGCCTGGGGTGACGACCGACCCTGTGGGGATGCCTCGTGGGACTGGACCTGGGAGAACTGCCTGGGGCTGGGGAGGGAGTCGGGGAATTCCTGA